TTTGCGGCCGGAGCTGGTCGTAACCCGAAAAGTTTGTTAACAGAGGCGTTCGTAACCCGAGATACCACTGTAATGTTTAAAGATGTGTTGCTTCCATTTCTGAATGTATTTTATAGCTATTATAACTAGTAACCATTGATAGCAGTGTCCTCTACAAATATGTCTAAATTGGTGAATGAGAGCCAGTTTAGTGTAATGATTAAGGTATCAGGCTAGAAACTGGGAGACCGTGAGTTCTAGTCCCACCTAGGCAGAAAGCCAGCTGGGCGACCTTCAGCCAGTCCCTCTCTCTCAGCCCTGGGAAGAAGGCAATGGCAAGCCACTTCTGAAATCTTGCCAAGAAAATTACAGGGACTTGTGCAGGCAGTGGCCAGGAGTCAACACTGACTTAAAGGGACCAAAAAAAAAAAAAGGTGAATATCACTACATTTGGGGAAGCAATTTCCATATCAAATGTCATTATCCACTCTGTGAAGAAGGGCTTCCTTTGTCTAAGTCTGCCATTATCCAGTTTCATTAGATGACCCTCAATTTCTGTCATGAGAAAAGGACACAAGTCCCTATTCTTTTTCTCCATCCTTTCTGTAATTATATAAATCTCTATCATGACCTCACATTTTTTTCCTAAATAAAAAAGCTGCAGAGTAACTTTTCATTTTTGGGGAACTGTTTCATCTTCCAGAAAAAAGAAATTATATAATATAGATGCCAGTATAAATCAATACCTAGGAGTAATTTAGGATGTCTTCATTTCCAGCCTGTTTTGTTAAGAGAATATTATTCCTGACTTCTTGACCTGCCAGGTTGAATTGGAATCTTCTAAAAATATTTTTGCTGCACCTATTCCAGTTTTAATTTACCCATAATATATAGGTTTGATGCAGTATTCATGGAATCAACTTTTTATGGCTCATTCATCTTAACTCAGAAAGGTGACAAGTTCTGTTTTGATTAGAAGAAGCACAGTGTAATTATTCCTGAAGATGCTGTGTTAAGAATAAGAATGCTGCATTTGAAGAGTATATAAATTCTTTGAATTGTGCAAATTCAACTTTATATACCTTCCTTATTTAGGGGGGGAAGGGATGAAATGCATGAATCCTTCATTCTTGAATAAAAGCTCCATGTATAGCTCTGCTGTGGTCTAGTGTTTGACCTACTCGCCTAACAAGATATACCCTTTAAGACCTCTCAAGGTGAACCTCATTTTCAAGGTACTTTGATTTTTATTAGAGAACATTTTATACTTTGGACTATTTATCAGTGTTTATTATTGCCTGCCATTGTCATATCAAACATATTTAACAGTGAATTGAAGTATTTCCTTTAGACTAGTATATTTATTTATTTATTTATTTATTTATTTATTAATTTGGTCCCCCGCCCATCCCCCCCAAAGGGGGGACTCTGGGCGGCTCACCACACGTTAAAAAAATAAATAAATATACAATTAAAACCTATAACAATTCACATTCACAAAAATAAAAGGGAAAATTCCAGGAGGCCGATGGTTCAAGGTTGGTTCTCTATACTTTAGAATCATGATTGTTTTTATATTTTTAATAATGACTGTTTTTTATATATTTATTGGTTTACTTCATTGTTGTACACCGCCCAGAGTCACTTTTTTGTGAGATGGGCAGCCATATAAATTTGATAATACACACACACACACACACTGTGTGTGTCTGTGCGCACACGTGTATGTGTTCATTCCACTTTCCTTTATATACAGCCCACCTTCCTTTAAGAAAAGGAAAAAGGGTGGGCTGAATATCCTATCCTAAAGAGAGTCTCCATATATCCCTTCCTGTAACACTGGTAAATACCAGCACCTCAGTAGCTCCTAAAGCTAATGCATTATACACGGTCATGAGTTCAATTCTCGATAGAGTTTGAACTCCATAGAAAAATCTGTGGCTGTGTATGTCTGATGAATCCCAGATAGCCAAAATTGGTCATGCACGGCCTGCTGGTGTTCAAGTAAAAACGCCATAAGTATACACTGTGTAAAAATAGAGAAATCTCAGCCTGGGAAGCAGAGGTGGAACTCATGTAGAATCTTGTACAGATAAGATAGATTACATTATATACATTTGGGTGTGTATATAACATTCTCATGATTAGAAGTGGCCAGTACAAACTTCCTAAATCGTTTTCTCTTTTTTCCCAATCTTGCTGAAATACAGATTTCAGTTACCCCCTTTCTTTGAGTTATCCTCTTTCTTAATCACAAATGGAAACATGTACTGCATAACTAGCCTATGCACGCTTATCTCTTCTCTTGCTCTGCAGGTATCCCATTTTTGTAGAAACCACTACAAATGTCTTGTAAACAACAAGGGAAAATAAGGAATTGGAACATTTGTCCTACTTTATCTGTGTCAGTGACAATTCAGAACAGGTTCTTAAGTTTCCTACCCAGGCTAGCAAGTGATTATTCATCCCATTCCAAGCTACATAAAAAGATAGATTGCAGACTTTAAGGCTTATTTTACTTGACTTATTCAGAAATAATTTGACATAATATACATCTGATTGGTGAATGAGCTGGTTCCTAGGAATTCATGTTTAATTCACAGGCTTCGAAAAGTAGGATTTTCTTACATGAACAAAACATCCATCTCTGATTATTAGAATGAAACATAAGAAAAGAGGGGGGGGGAAATCACACATGCGTGTATATATTTCCCAGCTATGCTATTCCAATAAAATAAAGTTATTCCCTGGAGACATCAAGTCTTAAAAGATCAGATGTGCTCTTAAGCATAAAAAAGCATTAAAATTTTCCTCTGAGTAAATTAAGGTAGGTGTCTCTGATACGACGTGTTATTACAAAATGTTCCATTATAAACAATGAAGAAGAATCATGTTTCCAAGAGACCTCACGCAGTAGAGTGTTTTTCTTTTTCATTCCATTAGGAACATGTTATTAAAACTCTAAAACGTTACTAACAGCATAACTTCTATCCCCCCCCCAATATAAATGCAAGTGTACCCTAGAGTTGCTGCTATGCGATCCTACAGAATTTCAAAGAATTCTAATAAAAATATGCAGCATAGTCCAGTAAATTAAAACTATAATGTAGATCATACTATGGGTAGGATCCAGTCTTAGTCAAATTATAAGCAGATTAATTGAAATCAGTAAGACTTAAATTAATAGTAATTAATTTATTCAATTAATTTCAATGGATCTGCTATGGAAATCATTAGGTCTGAAAGCAATCTAATATTTTTTTTTAGACAGCAAAGGAGTGCTAGAAAAATAATTGCTCAAAAGTGTTTGATTTATACCCCTATGAAATTAATACTAATAAGTAACTAGCTACTTATAACTATAACTAGATTTCCTGTATCAAAATGCAAGAGTTTATCTGATTTCATATATTTAGGAGGAGGGTCCCTAGCTACTGTCCAGTTTCTATATACTTCAGATATCAGTCTGTGTAGAGTTTTTGAACTTTAAACACTTAGTAGAGAGAATCACTATACATTGGTTCTATATAGGATATTCATATGTGCAGCAACTGTATTTTTCTTACTGTACATAGTTTAATTCAGAGGTTATGAGAATCTGCCTACATGCATTCTTACCTGATTCGTACCCAGGTAATAATATCTGTTTAGTCCAGAGTATATGTATATACCTGAGCTGAATGACAAACATATCAGGGAATAATGATCTTAAGTTACAATAAGACAGATTCTACTTGAACTTTAGGAAATTTAGGAAAAATGTGCTAAGAATAGTTTAGCAATATAACCAGTTACTGAGGGAGGTAAAGATCTCCCTTTAGTGGATTTGTTCAAGCAGTGGCTGGACAAGTATCTGTCAGGAATTCTTTAGCCTGGATTCCTACCCTGAATAGGGAGTTGGACTCAATGTCCTAAATGGCCTTTTCTGTTTTGGTGATTCCTATAGCTGGAATGAACTGATTAACTCTTGACTATACAATTCCTTTTGGTTCTGAGGAACTGCCTAAGAGAAGAGTGGATGGAAGATCTGAAGAGGAAGCATGACCATAAGAATAACTGAAGAACTAGAAACAGTAGAGGAAATAACTATAGCTAAAATCCATACCCACTCATACATATTTATACAGGCCCAGTTTTGAAAACAGAGTGACCTTGGTAGGCTAAAGCCTAGAAGTTGTCTTCAAGTTCTGGGCTGCAGAGCTACAGACAAGTCTGAGGAGAGACAGCATAAGCACTCAACACTAAATTTATCATGCAATTGAGTTAAATACCTCAAAAGTTCTTCCATGTCCTCAGCAGGGCTAGCATTTAATACAGGTTCTCTGTCTTCACTGGCTGCCAGAAACAGCAGTGGGTCTCCAAGAGTTACCACTCCACCAAGATCTGGACCTTCAAATAATTTCACATCTAACATTTAAACAAAGCAACAGATGGAATCAGGTTGGAATACAGTAGTAAACAGCAACAATAACCTAAATGAGTTGGGTGGGCAAAGGACCTATTGGAGTTGCATGGGTACAAGAAGAATAAACAGAACTGTTTTCATGTGATCCAGTTTCATGTAGATCCCACCCACATAGAAGAATAAAGAGGTCTGCAAGGTGGGGAACATCAGATTTGGTTGATCTATGTCACATTGCCATGGATCCTGAATTATGCTACACCATATCATTGGCTTTCACTGCCAAACTATTTTAAGAGGAAATCATCTTCAAGAGAATAAGTTTTTATGACACCAATTCACTTCTGTATAGAAAACAGAAATACTAACCCTTATTCCTTTTTAAACATAGAATTATTTCATTCATTAGATATACTAAATGAAGTATGGTCTACACCAGGCTTGGGGTAACCTACGGCCTTTGAAATATTGTTGCACTCCAATTCTCTTCAGCCTAATCAAGCCTGGCCAATGGCCCATTCCAGTTTATGCAGTAAGCTGAAAAGGTAAGCAGAGATATCTTACAGAAGGGATGTGAATATTGTTTTCTTTCTTTACGTTATCTCAGTACTTTTAACCATTATACATGAAGAACCTGTGTATAGTAATAGTTAAGATGTTAAACAAGGACTCAAGTTCAAATTCTTCTTTGGCCATGGAAGCTCACTATGTGATTTTGGGCCAGTTAGTCTCAACATACCACACACAGTTGTTGATGTGGGGATAAGATGGGAGGGTAGGGTGATTCCAAGACATTGACTTGACCTCTCAGAGAAAATACATGATAGAAATGCAGGAAATAAATAGAGCTATCTAAAGAAGCTAGTTAAATAATTGCCACCATGAAATAAGTAACTATATCCAGAATCTAAGACAGTTTTACAACCAAAGATTACATGCTTTGTGGCACTTTTTTTTCATTCCTACAGAGTACATATCAAGAAACTGTATATTCATTTATTACCTTCTTTGACTGTCAATATCTTCTTGTTACCAGGGGATGAAAAATCTTCAGCCATGCCAAACAGTTCTTCACCTGGATCTACTTCTCCACGAAAAATCATTAACTTGGTTTTATCTTCTTTAGCAGGAGAGGATGTGGGCTTCTTGAGCTTTTTAGATCTAAAATTTTAAGTAATAAAACAGAAATTACTACAAACTTTCTCAGGAGGGATTTGAATTGGGGGAGATGGTATTGAGCCCTTTTCAACCATACCATGACTTTGATTTTATTAGCCATGAAAGAGAAAACACGCTGCCATAATTCTGAGCTGCTCCATGGCTCTGAAAAATTTTTGAACATAGCATAAAGAGTTCCAGTCCTGCCATTCTGACCCAGTGTTTAATTTGGCCCTTGGTTTGCATGGTCTAGAGCCAGTTTGGTGTAGTGGTTAAGGCACCAGGCTAGAAACTGGGAGACTGTGAGTTCTAGTCCCACCTTAGGCACAAAGCCAGCTGGGGGATCTTGGGCCAGTCACTCTCTTTCAGTCCTAGGAAGCAGGCAATGAATGGCAAATCACTTCTGAAATCTTGCCAGGAAAACTGCAGGGACTTGTCCAGGCAGTTGCCAGGAGTCAACACTGACTCGAAGGCACATGTACATACACTACACAGTCTACCCTATAACCGTGGAGCAGTTGCCATAAAGAACTCTTTCTGTGCCATCTGCTTTAAATGTGGCATATGAAAAATATAAATGGGAAGAATATTTATAGTTGATCATAAAATACTGCAAAAGAATATAAATAGCAATAGCCAAACTTTTCATGTCAAGCCTTAAAAAAAAAAAACTGGCAAATTTTATTCTACCTGAAAGAAAAGGAAAGCAATACAGATCCTGAAAATACATTGTCATGTGCTCCCAGCAATGCATAAGGGATGGAAGACAATTCCAAGAAGGATGTTTTTTCCATGACTTGTAGAAATAATTGTAGCACGCAGTTGGGGAGCAGAGGGAAGGCATAGCTTAAGTTAATTCAGCAAAGGATAGTTAGATCAGCGTTGTCCAAACTTGGCCACTTTGAGTGGACTTCAACTCCCAGAATTCCCCAGCCAGCATGGC